ACCACTCCTTTCAAGGTGTTACAACATTTTTCGGACACCCTGTATATTACAATTCAAATGTGCCTTTGAAGTTTTCTTAAAAATAGCCACGAACTTTCTGGACAACCTAATACTTCCGAAAAGTTTCAAAAAACGAATTGAAGCCGGATTACCAGAATATGAGATCCTTAATATGAGATCCTTAATATGAGATCGACGGTAGAAGTTAGATGAAAGTACGCGTTGGTTTAAATCGCTGACATCGGTATTAATTACGAGATAACCGGCGCTCATCTCTCACATGGATCTCTCATAACAAACACAAAATGGGGTTATCGCCGAGGACGAATGACATTAAAGGTCGGAGATAAGCGAGAGGCACGTGTCCGCGTGTGGTCACGAAACGGTTCGATGACCCGGATAAACTTGCACGCGGTGAATGCCGCTCGATATACGAATGTTATCGCATGAATTATGCAATTCGTCGCGGGATTGTGATGTCTCGGAGCATGCATCGTTTCGAGTGCCGCCTTGTGCGCGTCTACAATATAAACAAGTGTTTTCTAAAGTAGGGGGAGCGTCGCAGTGAAGGATGTGTTGCGAGAAAAATACTTTCAGTTGTAGAGAAATGTCAATAACATTTATAATTGCTGTTTAACATTCGTATAATTACGACCTCACAAGAACTTAGTAAGTAGTACAAATTTGGATATTCAAACATTCTACAAGCTTGTAACAAACATACGGAAACACTGGAAAGATATGGAAATTTGTATATGGTAAGCATGTTTGATGAATGACTGATGAAGCCTAACATAATAATAAAAACGGATAAACCCTGACTGTAGAAGGAACTGCTCATATATCATTTTTTCTTTCTGCAGGTGTACGCTGGAGAGTCCAGTGACGATGACAACTCCGACAAAGTGGACAGTGACAACTCGGATAAATTGGACGTCGATGACATGGAATACGAGTATGCCGACTACGATGGTTCGCATTGGCCCGAATATTCTTCGGACCACTCTACACCTATCTACGGTGCCCGACCATCCGATTTCCCTGATTCGTTGTCGACGATTGCCCCTGTCCCGTCTCCTCCGGAGCCAACCTCAAACGACGCTATGAGGATACTGTTGGCAGCTGTCCACAAGGCAGAGGTAAAGCAAGAATTGAAGAAAAACATGTGGGAGAACCACAAGAATGCCGAAAGGGAACCACACGTGGAAAAAGTCGCGGAAAAGATTTCCGAGGATCACGCAGAGGAGCAAAAGAATAGTACCAAGCAGAAACGGGACGTTCCCGACACTGAAAGCTTGAAAGATTTCCTGGAGTGGAAGGCGGCTGAGAAACGTAAACGGTCTATTGGTGCACATAAACATGGTTCAAAGAGGGTGATCTCGTCTGGGTCTAGTCTTCGCGAGAGTCTGGAAGACTGGTCTGTCGCGGACAAGCAAGACACGTGAGTTGTTTCATTTAGCAATCAGAAACTTGTCATTTGGGTTACTTTGGATGAGAACTGTGAGGGTGAGGTATAAAAGTTTCTTACATATTTGGTGTCTCTAATAGGACATTGTAAATCTATCAAGTTTTGTTAATGACGATATATTAAGACAATAGATGACATAAAATGTTGATTTCTTGTTTTAAATGTGTTCTAATAAATCTAGTATCATTACGTTAATTTTAAGTAGACGGTTTCAAGACACTGTATAGAAGAGAACGTGATTTCCGGTTCTTTATGTTGCGCAGGTCGCTCGAAGTTCGAGGCAGGCATCCTCCCAAGAAATATTACACCCACTCGGAATCCGTTCACGGTGCCCTTACCGTTGATGGACAGAGTTCGAACATCCGAAGCACAGAAGAACAGCCGAAGAAACCTGCCCGCAGGCTTCGAAAGAACCTGCACACGTCCAGACAAACCTTCGCCGCGCATTACGGCGCCGATAAGAACTTGCTAGGGAGAAGAAAAAATGACACCGGAAGTTCGAGAGCCCGTCACGACGATAGAGTCTTCAAGGCGTGGAGAGCGAGCGATTGGGTGGAGGGTCTTCGTATGGATCAGCACTTCGACATGAAGAACAACGGAAGTCTCGTGATAAACAAGGACGGTTTGTACCTGGTATACGCGCAGATTCATTACATGGACGAGCATTTCGAAGCTGGGTTTCATTTGGAGGTGAACGATCGACCGATCTTGCAGTGCATGGTAAGCGGACGCTCCCTAGCGAATCGATATTAACCATAGCATAGAGTCAGGCCTTGCATGTAAGCAATGCGTGAGATTGGTGTGTGCTTTGCCAAAAGCACTTCAACATATTATTACGTAACGTAATATTACATCCTGTTTGGCACGTACTGCTTTAATCCAACTAATCCATTACTTCGAGTCTAACATTCTATCCGGCTATCTGACGTCCTTTCAACCGGCCAATTAATCAACTGTCTAACCAACGCTTCAGATAAATATAAATTTACACTGATTTTTATATCAAATTGTACCATGAAGAATTAATTACATATACAATAAGAAAAAATCGAGCATTAGGGATGCTAGACAAAGGCAAAGGAAGTAAAAAGGAAAATTTTATTTTTAGAATTACAATTCAGGCAAAGACAGGGACTTCAGTCAGTCCTGTTTCTCCGCCCAGGTGACGTGTTTGAACAAGAACGATATATTGGTCTTGAAGGAAGTCGGCAGTTCGTCGAGATACGCTCTACTCGAAGCGGAAAAGAGTTTCCTGGGACTCGTGAGACTAGGAGACGCCAAAACATTGCCATTCTACACATCCCAGTGAATCGAATTGCGATTCGTAGCTTTGATTGCGATTGAATTGCTATGCGGAGTTGGTAGAACGTCTTAATACAGTGATTGCCATTTATGATGCAATTTATATATATTTATGACGCAAGTGAATTAGCTGCACATTTCTGATCAACCTTTCAAATCTGGAGGCAATGATGCTGTCTACGTTACACCAAATGTTTCGATTAAACGATACGGGCATTTAATAGAGTTGGCATCGTGACACTTGTTCATTGTTTAATGACATTTGTTTAATTTTGTTTAATTTGTGACTGTTGGCAGTATCAGCACCGTTACACAGCGACCGTTCACGCGTCTTTCTTAAATATCGTAATAAATGCGAGTTCACAAGCAATTTTTCAATTAAATTTTCTCTGCAGTCAGCGTGTTAACAATGGGAGTGTACCCTGCTGCAACGAAAAGTAATTTATTTGAGCGACGTACTAAACTGATCCGTTTAGTTGTGTCTTATAGTTCGATGGGACTAGTGTACTAGTGTAAATAATGTATTTGTATTTTATTACAGCGTAATTTTGTAAACTATCATCAACTTTCTATAACCCAAAGAGAGAGTGAGTGAGAGTGAGTGAGAATTCAGCGAATCGATTTTGTAATAGATTTATCTAAACAAAAATAAACAGTTCGCGCACACAAATTGCAGTCCTGCGATTACGTATTAATATTGTTATGTTAATTTGCCTTTTCAGTGTATACGTTGAATTTATAATTTATTAGTTTTTCGTTCTAATATTATTAATATTATTCGAACAATATGGGACGCAACGTCTTTATTTGAGTAATTTTAATTTAACCGACTATTTGTAAATTCAACATGTGTTCCGAACAGTATAATCATTTTTTTCGAATCAACGAATATGTCAATCGCGACATAGTTTGTCGCAGACCCGTTGCGTTTCGTAATAAAACCTAGCTCGGTGACAGTTAATTGGGATTAGATCTCCAGGCGAGTCCATTAGATCGACGATGAAATTAGGCTTCATCAGCTTCGTCGGGAAAACAGTTTGACGGTTATCGATCGAAACTGCGTCTTTATCAGAATCCTTGCATGAATACGGTGGTATAGTTTGTAATGTTACAAATTCTGGACAAGAGGTGTCCCTGTCGAGATAAGGTTTAAACGAAGTTTCTTCGACTGGTCCTTCCACCTGCACAATTGTTAAAACAAGTTAAAAGAAGTTAAAAGATCAGTGTTTTCTGAAGCATATAGTTTGTTAAGATTTATTAATTTGTCATTATTTGTGAATTTATTCCTGAGTTTATAAAATAATTTTAAGATACCTGTGGAACCGCTACTTCGACCCAAGTTTTCCCGTACTCTCCTCGCACCAGAGCAGCTGGTAGATGTATTCTGTCAGCTATCACTTTGAAAAGCAAGGCTCTTTCTAGGTAAGAACCGACCCTGAGCATCCCCAATGGTATGATGCTCGTCTCTATGGTGGCTTTGATTTCCTTCAAGTGGATTTCCAGCTGATGATCCACGCATCCGATCAGGGGGTCAGGTCCCGACATTTTCCTCGCGACGAACTTTGCTAACATCTTGGCGCGCGAAGCCACGTAATTTACGTTCGCCAATCCCTGTCTTACCTTTGATGTTCTGGATTGCACGAAAGTAGTAGAAGTTATAGAGTAGTCATAAACACGCAGACTTTTATGTGAATAGATGTCTGGAGTGTCAGTGTAGGAAAGCGTTAGAAAGCTTTTTGAACTTTGGAACTATTCGCTGTAAAGCCATGCCTTCCTTAAAAGACACGTACACGCATTTAGACTCTGCCGCGACGAGTTTGCACTTGAATAACTCTACGTAATCGTAGAGGCAAGAGTCGCATTGGAGACGACCGAATTTCGAGTCCATCACTAGATTTTGCAATTCGCTGGACATGAATATTCCTGTACGGGTAAGGTCTTCTATGCTCATCTGAACGGGATCTAGGGAACCAAAGATATGACACGCGCTGATCGCAATTGACAAGTGCAAATAAACATTGTAACCTTCTAAAATTGATCGACTCGGAGATGCTAAATTAGTGCTCGATTCGTAAGCCTGAACACAGTTCACGACGTAAACAGGCTCCAGTGGGCAGAACTTGAACCGAAAGATATCGTCCAATATCGGAAACCTGATCAAGGTTGAAACCGGATGGCCAGTATGGAAAGAAAATGAAAGCTATTTTGTGTTAAGAATTTTCCATTGGTGTATTACAGAATTCGGTACCCAAATTTATCACCCAAGTCTCAAACTTATTTGAAGATTATGACGTTATAAATTATATTTAATGTTTGAGATGATAACTGTCGAGTGTCTCGGGTATGTTGGAATACGTAGATTCGTGTCGATAGGTACTTTATCCTGCAAAACTTGATATTAGGTTGTCCAGAAAGTTCGTGCCAATTTTGAAGAAAACTTCAATGGCACATTTGAATTGTAATATATATTTATTGAATTACGTAGGTACCATTTTGTTCCGCAACCTTTCCACCTTTAAAGGGATGTACATATATATATACGTTATTTGTTTTCAGGAACTTCGACATATTCAGACCTGCACCACCTATCAAAAATCGGCATGGACATTCCGAACAACCCAATACTTTCAATGGAATATACATATATAACGGTAACAAGACATGGCCGTACGGGCAGACGTTTCTACGAAGAACGTAAAATCCGTTTTGGGTGACATCGTGCAGAGAAAGTCGTCCAGTGAAAGCAAACTTGATTGGCAGGTGCGAGTCGAAGAGCGCCTCTATGCACGTGTCCCACGTGGGCACGCCTATCGCGGTCGTGCGGTTGTTCACCATGCTTGGGTATCGTTTTTATCGATTATTGGAACGATCGGAAACGCGTGTCCCCGATCTGTATATTAAGGTTCCAAAACGGACTCACAAGTTTAAATATCTGGCTTGAACGAAAGCGTCCGCTAGACTCGGATCCGCGCATAACGATTGTATCAATTGTACGGCTGCATTCCTTACTGGGATCGATTTGACGTCGACCAATAAATTGTATAATTTGCGCGGTCCAGGAGCCTTCAGGAAAGCGGACCTTCCAATCTTGTCTACGCACAGTATGGCTATAGTATCGCAGCAGGCGATTTTGTAGTCGTTCATCATTGGACACGTCAACTAACAAGAATCCGTTTCAGTTCCAAGGTTTTATATTCGTTCAATTTTTCCGTAAATCAACAACAATTTCGTTGACTTATCTCTCTTACGTAAATATACCGAAGGGATTTACTTCGAACGATGCGCATACTGTATCCACCGTGTTGCTGTTAACGATGACATTTCTTAATGATCGATTCCTGGCGATCGTCGTTAGGGACTCGACGGCTCCCACCAATATTTCTATAGGAACTTTTCCCGTTGTTTGCTTCATCAGCCATACGAGATAATTCTAAGGGAATGCGAAAGCGTTCTTCATCTAAATGACAGTTCTAGAGCTGTTCAAACGATCTCGTATGTCCAACGTGTCTACCTGTCCATGGGTATCCAAGAAATAGCGGCAATTCTTCGTGTCGCACTTCAGCAATTGGTTCAATGCAAACATGGCTGCCTGTCTTATAGTCCATTTCAAGTTTTCATTTTTCAGTATATCTGTGAATGAAAGCAAACTGATGTTTTTCGAATTAGCGAAGTAGATAATGGTTCGAGGAGACTGGTAGCTTGTCGAGTACCTAAAACATTCTTTACGCAATTGCTCTCGGTCAGTTCTTTAGCAGCGTCGTTGTGAAGAGTCATCATACCGATACCGCGACAGCTGATCTCGTAGATATTGGACTGCACGTTGCCAGACAATGTCACCAATAAATGATCGATAATCCCGTAGGTGTACAGTGCCTTTCAAATAGATAAACGTTAAATCAGTTATGATAGAAGAATAGCGTAACTTTTCGACTGTCTACTTGCTATCTAAAGTAAGGTAAAAATACTTCATTATTTTGATATGGAAGAGAAGTTCGAAAATTACGAAATGGTGTACACAGGATAAAATTTAAACACTGTTATTCAGATCGAGCATTTGCTGAAAATGGATATGGAAAGTAAAAAAATTGGAAGAAACTTTTGGTTATCCCAATCGTGAAAACGAAATAACGATATTAAATATAATCGTAATTCTCAAGATCGTGTCCCATCGCTGAAAGTTTAATGAAATTGAGTCGACGACGAATGTCTTAATTTATAGCAACGGTAAACGAAACGTGTTACTTTTCTGCCCAGGGGAGTGTGCGATAGGCGAACGACTACATCAAGAGCTTCCACGAAAAATTTCGAGTTTGGCGTGTCTTGCGTGTACCGTAGAAGCCTTTTGATGCCTCCGATGTCATTGAGTAAATCGATCGTTGCAGGATTATCGGAGGCCAAACAGAGAATTCTGAGCACCTCCGAATGAAGGTCTGCGCATTCTTCTTTCTGAATTGGAAGAGGTACGCTATTAAGCGTTACATGTGATGCAGTAGATCGAGTCTTACATCTAAAAACTTTAGCAAAGCCTGGAGACCGTTCGATCTTCTGAAAAGGTTTTGCAAGTGATCATCTTGGTTCCTACTGACCAGCTCGCCCACAATATTCAATGCTAATCCTTGGATTTCGCGATAAGGCGAGTCGAAAAGATCGTATAGAAGATTCAAATTAAAATCCTGAAAGTGATGTAAAATTCTGCTGTTCTCTTAATGTTTTTTTCGTAATTTCGTCGTTTTGTAATTCTGTTACATCTAGATGAGATTTTGTTTAATCGCTTTTCATGTTCCAATGGAGGGCGTATAGTTTCCAAATTAATGAGATTTCACGAAATCGATCGTTCGTCTAAACAAACCTTCGTTTCTATCATTTCTTTGGCTCCAGTGGAATCTTGCAAGAGATTTTGCATAATTTCTAAATTGTTCTTTTTCACGTCCGGATCTGGAGACTGAAGTCTCTTGAACAGGAAGTTCATATCCGAACATTGTTTCAATAATTGCGCAACGCCGAACATGTCCTTCGACACTTCTGCTAATATCGCAGAGGAGAATTCCTGCATGAAGAGGTCTTTGTCGTTGACCAAAATATTTGCAAAATGTGGAATGTAGTAGGCGCTGTCTAGCAGGAAGTTGCGAACATTGGGAATGGCTGCCATCTCTGCCAATAGCTTTGCAGCAAATCTAAATATTGCGGTAGCAAATTGAAGAGTGATAGAACGGTTTAAATGATTTTTCAACGTAGTACGTTTTTGACCACATAAACAACATTTTATTCGTATGATATCCTGATAAATAGTAGATTTACGACCTGTTACAGCTACTTAAGAGTTGTTAGACAAGTAACCTTCGAGTAAATAGATTTTCGTGTTCGATTAGCGGGATAACGCTTGCTACAATTTCGAGGTCGAACAGGACCTCTAGGTTTCCTCGAGATTTGCTGCCATACTTGGAGAGAGCAGCGGCCGCAGCTAAGAGTATAGGTTGCTCTTGACATTGCAAAAGCAATACCGCTGTCCCAGGATGTTTAACCTCCAGACCCAGAGGATCAAATTTGTATTTACATTGTTCTTCGCGATCTACTCGTTCCTTGTTCTTGGTTACACGTTTCTGTGCGTGGTTCGCGACACGAATGAACAACATATTTCAGGGGAAAAAAGACGATACACGCATCTGTTATTAATTTTACCTTTTTCGGGTTCATCTTTCTTCGTCTTTTTTAATAATAATTCGCGATAAATCAAAAGGATCGCCTGCGGACATTGCGATTATTGCGATACCTATCAACTAAATGTAAACAATGAATGTTGTTGTAATTGGGAACGGATCGCATAATTGATAACAGAGAATTATAAAAAGAGGTATCTAAGCAAATGCAAATGATAAACTGATAAGTGTACTCGATGCGTCACCGATAATTAGAACGTGTCAAACTTGGTTTTATTATTTATTTATTTTTTTTACAAAAACTTATTTAATGACGGTCTATGATACCGTAATACATACGATACATGTTCCACGGCTCAATATTAAATCTGGGGTACTCGATTAACATGGTCAGCAAGATAGACATGGCAGAAGCGCTTCAGTGGCGCGTTCAAGTTCGAAAAAGAGTTTTGTACGCTTTGAAACATTTATAATAAATTACTATGAAATGTATATTTAAAATTCTTATGACTAATGCCGTCTACAAGAACGTGATGTATGCAATACAAAATCGCAGGAAAAATAGTTCTATTTTTCTTTTTGAAAAAAAAAAAAAAAAAAGAAAAATTCTGATAGAAAAATTTTATTCTTTGCATAAATTAGAATAGAATCCAAGGAAGAAAAGAACTTCGGTTATTGTATTTCGTTGCAATGAACATTTTCCCGTAATGATTTTTGTTCTTATTAAAAAATAACGAACAAATAAAGATTAATATGGTAAGAGCGTCAATTTATGTGTAAAAGGTACCGAATACACTAGTTAAATACAATTAAATTTGCTTAGTACGGAATGCGCCTTATATGCTAGACAAAATATATAAAATCTCTCGCAAGATATAACAATATACATCTGTATAATTAGGTACTACAAATGGTTAAACTGTGAACCTATGTCAATGAAATTATGACAATGAGAATAATGAGATCGGTTCAACTACAAATTACGCGTGTTCTTTAATAATACTATAAACGATGGTGTATAGAAATACACCGTTTAGATATGTAGTAGTGTGCAGTGACGCGTTAACCTACTAAACAGAGAAACCACCTGCCGAAGTATTTTGAATCATTAGGCTGGATTAAATATTTATTTTATATTAAAGTTCTTCGTTTTTTCTTTAGACGGGACGTTGATATTGTATTTCAGTTGAAGTCCCATGAAGTATAACGCGCCACTGATACCTCTTTCGTAGTGAAAAGAGATATAAAATCCCATACTTTATTAAACCTATGGCTATTGAATTGATTCTTAAAGTTACACGGACGTGACTTGTATTATTGTATAATATATTACTATTGTGGCGTGTATTGTTCTCCTTAAAAAACATTTATATATTCTACGAGGCACAACGACGATCCTTATAAGAATAAAATCAATGTAAAAAAGGTATAAAATAAGTATCGATATGTACAGTGTTAGATAAAAAATAGAAGTTTTTACATACGCGTAACAACGACATTTCTATGGACGGATTAAATATTTAGCTGAAACTTAAAATATTAATTAAATTCAGTCGTTCGCGCATTTTTTTTTGATCCCGTACACACGGGATATTTCTTAACCTTTCGGGAAATTGTAACCAATGCAGATGATTACAGCTTTGTGTTCAAAATTATTATTTTTTTGTTCGTTCTAAGTTTTTCGATCGTTAGTAAAGTTTCCACGTATTCCTTATATAAATAAAGAATCACGGTTTCCGAAAATTTTGTAATCGTTTACAAAACGATCAGCATCACTCTACTAGAGTTTTGTTTCATATAAATTGACATCCATTGTACTAGTTTCGAAAAGTACGTCCAATTACACACGATAAAAGGCTATCATACAGCCGTCTGTGGAACACCTTGGACTAGCTGTGTCTTGCTTTTGCTTTTAGATAACGAAGTTTGACTCATCGCTTTGTTTATCTTGGGATGACCGTTGGGTGAGCTGGTAACAAATCCGTCGGAGCGCATGTCCTTCAAAGATATATTGGAGTTGCTTCTGAGGGACGGGGTTGAACTGAACTTCCTGTTCTGTGTTAATCGTTCTTGAAGCTTCGATTCATTTTGTCGCGGCATTCTGGATCTGACATTTGGTGCATCGCGATATTCGTAAAGGTTTTCCTTCGAGGGACGAGTCAGATTCTCGATTCCCTCCGAGGGCTCATCGTCTCGTACCATCAAGATGTCCCCGCTATAGTAGTGATCAGATTGTCTGCAAACGGAATCGCAGAAGACAGTAAAGATATGTACCACCTACTAATTGCAAATACCTCCCAGTAAGTGTAGAAAGTGAATGAGCAAATAATACTGTGAAAATGCCAAATGAAGATACTGTAACCTTTGAAGTGAGAGAAATTGAGTCATATAGTATGTGTTGCTTGCCATATTCAAAAACAAAATAATAAAATGTGTAGTTTTAACAAGCACAGTTTATTTCTGTCTAGGTTACCGTTACATGGCAGAGTATTTAAACTTTTTTTTTGTGCCCTATCATATTGATATGAACCAAAATGTTCACATTGAAACGTCTATAAAGAAATAAACTATGGTTGTCGAAGCTTCTTATTTTATTATTTTATCAGAGAAACTCATTGTCAAGATTTAGAAGCTGTGCTGTAAAGTACACAATAATATGCCAGACACCATATGATCAGTACTCGAATTACCTGCATATATTCTGGCAGCCCTGGTTTTGCTGCTTGAATTATAAGCAGAAATTGGATTAATACATGAAATTCTTATATGAATTTTTAAATGGATTAAACCTACGATCCCTTACAATGTAATTCGTGTAGTTCGATAGTAAAACCAGAACCATCTCCCGCATGCACTACAGATAAATGTAGTAAGAGCTTTGGTTCTGTTTACCTTTTCTTACCTCTTGGCATTGCGCCAAAGCATGCAGCACACAACGGATAGTACAATCAACAGCAGACACGCGGTAGAAACTGACCAAAACGCAATTTGCAAAGGCTGCTTCGGTTCCCACCAATACTGTAATAAACGTAGAATTGAATAAATAAAGATATTTTCGAGTGTAAATATCTTACACAAGAGATATAAAAAGAAAATAGTTTGCTTACTTCGGTAACTGGAGGATACGTAGGCACTAAACGACCAATAACAGTTGGCAAGTAAACGGACCAAAATGCACTTTCAGTTTGTCGATAATTGAATAAAATTGAACTGTTGAAAGTAGTATTAATGTTCAGATAGCGTAATTGCCCTTGCCTAGCAACATCGAAGTGTAACCCCACAATTTGCGACGGGGTTGGATTTCTATAATATAATTAATAACATGATCTCCATTAAAAAAAAAAAAAAAAAAAGAAAAAAAAAAGAAATCATTTAAGATATTAATGAGCATACCCATAGGTTGCAAAATTGGAAAACGCTTTCATGAAGAAGTGACTCATATTGCGATCGTTGTCTGTCCACATGTCTCGCTTCAATTTCCATTTCTGAGGAAAAAATTCTGAAAGAATAGCATTTTGTTATCATTTTGTTATCTTAAAAGAGAATTGTCAAGTATCGCACACCTACCGATATCCATGAAAGGTGCGCCAGTCAGCCAAAGAAGTTCAGTATCGTGAGGTACTCTACGCCACTGTGGCAATTTTAGTGCTTCTATGGTAGTATTTAACACGTACAAATAAGTAGGTACGTGTCTCTCTACCAATAACTTTGCAATTTTGTCAAAAGGAGCCACGTAATGAAAATCTGATAATAGCTGGATAGACAACATGACATTAATTTGTATAAAAAATACAATTATAAAAACTAAAGTTATAATTGCAATGCATAAAACTTACATTGATGTACTGATCGCGAATGTGTGTAATATTTTTTGGATCAGGCCAATATGTGTACATATACTTTATAGCTTCATAAACGCCTTGAGGATTGAGGGTGTAATTGTACCTAAGAACGAGTTCCCAAATTTTTTGATCGAATAATTCTGGATCTATTACATATTGATTCCTTGCCAGTGTAACATTGTTATCTGAAATTACAGAAAATGATTATTAAAATATAAATATGGCAAGTGAAATTATAAATTACGTACATATAATATATGATGCCTCTTGAGTAGTTACACCAGCCATGTATGCCAAGTTCTGTTTGAATTTATAATTTTTAATACTATTTTCTGGTGTTTCAAGAAAGAAACGCCAATCAGATGCTCTCCAGTCTTCAAACCAATTATCGCTTGGTACAGTGAAATTAACGTCTAACACAGGAGCCCATGGAAACATTCCAATATGTGGCTTCAATTCAGAATTACCCAATTCTAGAAAACTTCGACCATCTTTCAAACACTGCACCAATTTCCAACTGCTTTCTATACTACAGCCCAACATTTCAGCATATACTCTGGATGTATTCTGTGCTCTGTATTTGTCTATTATAACTGCCCAGTCTGCCAATGCAGAACCTGATTGAGCTATTACTTTGGATACCATTTCACTGGTTCTAGGTGAAACCATTAGCAGTCCAGCACTTGCTGCACCAGCACCAGGTCCAAAAAGTGTTATTGCTTCTGGATTACCATTGAAAGCCCTAATATTATCATACACCCATTGTAGTGCCATAGCTTGATCTAGAATTCCATAGTTTCCAGGACTGTTCTCGTCTCCTGTACTCAGAAATCCTAATGCTCCCAATCGATAATTAATAGATACAACTACTACATTGTAAAATGCAGCCAACATATGAGCAGGGAATAAGTTACTAGCTCCGTGAGTAAATTCTCCACCATGAATGTAAAACATTACAGCATATGGTTGAGCAAGTCCAGAATCAATATTTGGTGTAAAAATATTTAAATATAGACAATCTTCGTCTACATCTCTGATTCCTTTAGTGGCACCAGTATATGCACTAGGTTGAGGACATGCTGGACCCCAATCGACAGCTTGCATTAACTGCCAACCTCTGTGAGGTCTGGGAGGCTTGAAACGACCCTCCCTAATAGGTGGCATGGCATAAGGAATACCCAGAAATACGTTAACATGTTTTGTAACTCTTTCAACTGGCAAACTCCAAGGTCTGTGTCTTGCTTGCGGATCATCATATAAATACACCTTGAATCCTTGTATTTGTCCATAATTTGTGTCAACTGTTACGTCTCTAGGTAAATTTTTTGAATCTGGCCGTTCTCTTCCTTGTAGATCTTCTCGCCAGCCACCTAGTATTCCAGGCAGAGGAAGTCTTGCAGGTGTGTCCTACAAGTAATTAATTACTCTTTATTTTCAAAATGAATTGGATAGTAATTCTAGGATATGGGTATTAAAATTTATAACATCCTTAAATGGAAGGACCCTTTTATAGGGAAGTTTTTTCTAAATTTTATGTAATGTTACACAATAAAGGAAATGGTATTTTCAATTTAAAAAGAAAATGTTCAAGAAAACTTATGAAGCAATACTAGACAAAATTTTTATACAAAATACTTTTGGCGGGACTTTATTTACAGACTTTACTATTTATATAACTTATATTTAGAAGGAAACTTTTCACGATTCAGACAAAATAATCGAAAATTAATGTCTGTACTTTCTTTTTTTACAATATCATAGTCTCTCGAAATTCTTCGCACGCGCTACACACGAATCGTTCAACGAGAAACATAATATTATTACAAGTTATGTATCACTCATTTAATGTTAGAGACTCTCATCTAGATGAGAATTTCGCCTATCTGTTTTAGCGCTGTGTGTAACGAGAAAGCTACGTTACATACAATGACCTAATATTTCTTGGAATGACCGTAGATAGACAAATATTCAAAAGAAAGCACAATGTTTACGACGTGATTTGATCACTGGCTCTTTTCTTTTGCATTGTCCGACTTACCTGGCGGTGATACCGATCGTCCGTTGGTTTGATGTGTCCTCTGTAAACAGGATCCAGGTAACTGGGACGGTAACCGTACCTCCTGTCCTTGTAAATATACGTGTCGGTCCGATAATCCGTCCCGTTCGTTGGCACGTAGACACCATCACGACTATAGTATCGACTACCAGACGATAGTTGCTCCTGACACAGCACTGCGACCGTAAGAAAGTACAGAGAAAAACAGACGCGACCAAACGATGAGCGCAGCCTGTACACGGCCATCTTACCGCGTGCAGACTAACGTTTAGCTGCAACGAGAGAGTGAGACAGGCTTGGTTTCATTGGTTTGCTGTTGGTTTGCTCGTGTGTGCGTAGAGACGCGTGACACTTCCCAATGCGCGCGTAAAAGTGGAGAACTTGGTCTTCCAAGAAACTCTCGACCAACCACAGGAAAAGGGAAAGGCGTTGCGAAAGTAAAACTTTACGGACAGACGTATACGTTCATTGAGCAGAGATACAATGAGATAGACGTAGTAGGAAAGAACAGTTGGTGTACGATTGTGGAAAGGAACGCTAAGCGAGTATCGTGAAGTTGCTACACGTGGGTTTACGAAATTTACGTGGATCACGATTCACTACTCACGCGCATGGGCCGACACCCTGTAGCTAGCGATGGGAACGATATCGATATGTGCATGTTGATAATTAAGCAATTCGATGACGAAGTACGTAATCAAAGGATGCGATCAATATCAAATTTCATCCAATTTTAATATTCTAATTCAATCACAATTATGAACCAATTTGAAAACTTATTTAGGAATATTCATAGTTCACTATCGATCACTTACTTTAACGACTAATTTTCACATTGGTACGATATCGTGTGACAGTTTCATCGATGAAACTGTGACTGTATTTAAAGATGGTGTTGTATTTATAGCGATCGAAATAGGGTTCACTGAGGTTCACTGCACTAACGTAGCTTGTTTTGAAAAGTTGTTTACGACAATAGCGTTGTTTAGTCCAGTCCAGTCTATCGTCCAGCGACTACTAAACGTGAATGTTGAACTCGCGTGCAAATACGCGCTGCGATCTACCGCCCACGCGTTAATAAATACTTGCTGGATCGAGCATGATCTACAGTGTGTTTCCTCAAACACAAGCATTTCAATATTTTTTTTTTTTTAGAGGTATATAAACCGTTAGAGAAAAGATAGATCTGGGTTACATTTTAAATTTTCAAGGCAAAAGATATTTTTTTAAATTATATGACGTTGAATGCCAGATCAGTCCCTGCAAAATTTTCATCTTTTACATAAAATTTTCAAAGACTTTTCTTTTATGAAAAATATTATTCCGAAGAAATTTAATGTTAATCAGGACATTTGCCTTATTTTTGGTATTTTAGAAAAATGCAGCAGTGTTATAGATACGTATGGTGTAAAAACAACACCCTGTATGTAAGACCCTATTATCATCCAAGTATGCCGTTGCGTGAACGGATGTGTCATTGCGCTGATCCTGTATAGGGTGTAATGAAAACATTCTGTCCATCTGAATCGATGGAGCAATCGATAAAAAATCTTTGAAATTCGAAGTGACTTTTTATCGGCTATGTCGTATGTAGTTGTGAGAGGATAGGACTGGAATTTATGGAGAAAGCAAAATACATATGTGGTAGTAAAGAAAAACTACATAAAAGACGGTGAACAGTCTTAAGTGCTATTATAAAACATAACCTCGATATGGCGCGCTGTTATGGAGCCCAAAGTGTATCGTAATTTCTTGTACAATTTTTTTCTTTATAGTACGACGCATGTGACCACCCTATACATATACAGGGTAAGTCGTGAATAATGTTATAAATGGCATTGTGGGAAGTTCCTGCTTTCTCCTAACGTATTGGGCCCAAAGAGTTTTAATTTATCATGTTTTTGTTGTTGAAATATACTTGTACATAGAAAAGAATGACTTTGGGAGAAACAAAACTATGACGATTATGTTTGTACCAAGAAACTCTCATTTCCGTGACTCACTCTCTATAATATAATAAATTATCGGTTTATGCGATGTCGGAGCCCTTATCTTCAAATGATTTTACTCGAGAAAGATTAGATCACCGTTGCTCATCGCTATCGTATCACTGGAATGTCTTGTCATTTAATACGATAGTTTAACACGTTGACTATCAGACTAATTTCTACGAAGCTAAAGTTTCGGATTAAGACAAATGAAAACTACATAACCTTTCTGTCGATTAAGGTCATACTTTTAGCCCTTACGTGGGTTATACACTTATACATACATGTGCAGTGTGTATGACTTTGATTACCATTCGGAAATAAAGACTTGTTTAAGCAACGTGTAAATGAACGATATAAAACGTGAGTGATAATTAATAGCAGAGATGGACAAAATTATCTTATCTAGATACAGATTTTGAATAACAAATAAACAATAGACACGTATTGCATACATATTTTGAATAATCGAATGCAATTCTTTACAATGTATAAATACAAATTTAACTATTCAATGAAACAAATGTTGCAAAGAATTTTTTATTTATTATTCATTATTTGAATACAATTTTGTCTGTTAACCTATGAATGTAAGTTTGATAACAAAAAACCGCTTGTGTTGCAAGTGAAAATGCACGAATATATAGTAGTAAAAGCATACGGTTTTTATAACTCACTTAGGTGAAAATAGGATCAAAGGTAAAAAATTGTAGAAGTTGTTACTGAACTGCCGTGCACCGTAAGCAATCACTGTTTACTTACGATAACACGCTTTGGTCCGAGGCACCTGTGCTGCCAGCGCCATAAATGCTTGGAAATAGTGTTCATTTATGAAATTAATAATTCAATGTTATCAGGCAAAGCTCATAGATATCGCTGAACGTACTTTCTCCTTTCTTAATTAATTTAACAAAATACAAAATCTCAATTGACGTGAGAAATTTTAATATGCGATAATAGAACATTTTTACTTGCAATAGAAAATTTTCGTTCGAATAGAAAATTTTAATTTCAATAGAAATTTTAATTCGACACACTAAAGAGTAGCTTTAAAACGTGTAAGAGTAACTTGTTCTTCGTAACGAGAAACATCGTCGCACTTGACATCGCGTGATCCGATGACTTCTCCAGGCTAACCAACTGGCGCACAAAGTAAAAGTTTTTTTTTACGCGCCGGTCGTCCCCCGTGCGAGTTCTTCAATTTACAGCAATTGCTGGATTTATTACCCGTTCCCCGCTCGACTTTACTTATAAACTCGTACAGTCCTAGTAAAGAGCCGACCGTGTTTAATTACGTTGGCCTGTTGCGCTATCCTCTTGAAATCGTCACGCTTGACACACCGGGGTCGACTTCTGAGAACAAAAGTAAACTCGAGCTGAACGGTCCTTAAAAAATAAGAAAAATCTCTTGGACAGCAAGTTCAATCCTTTCTTGACAATGAAGAAGCCATGCGTTATCATTTGAAAATGAACTTTTAATTTATCAAGTAACTGTATTGAAAATCAACTAATCTGTTACAGTCAACAGAGGTTAAGAGGAATGCGAGTTTGTTGAACGCGACTATTCGGTAGCTTCCATCTTTGTTTGATGTTCGCGCAAAGTTGATTTAAATGGACGCTATTACGCTCGTTGTCTGTGTCCCGTCGTGCGTATATCCCTTTTTGTGGGAACTTGGCCATTAAAATAGTCTTTGAACTCGTGGGAATAAGACAGACATCGCGCAGTATGAACATAATTATTTCAATCGCTATTCGTATATTCACGACATCTAAAGATCAAAGTCTTTTTTTTTATTTTATTTATTTTATTGGATTATTTTTTATTCATAATGATTTTCATTATCACTTTTACAAGAATTAAAACACCGCTAGAAAATTCTGAACAGACTTAGGAACATTTTGCTTGAAATAATTATTTCGAATATTTTTTTTACTCTTGCATTTCCGGTAACCGAAATAAGTTCGTTATTCGAAATAATGATTATTTCAAACTACTAAAAGTAATCATTATTTGAAAACAATGTATTTTCCCGTCCTCCAAGTGATAGTATAAAAAGAACAGTTGGAGCTATAAAGAAATACATACGAACAGATCTTTAATAGGAATAGGTATCTGCATTGTCGACATTTGTACATTTGGTGGTCCCATCTAACGCCAAGAATGAGAACTAATAAGAACGCTACAAACTTGGACGTTTTATCGTCAAAAGCGCTGACTATAAGTTTGAAATACGATTTATATCAAATTATAATTATAACTTTATCTAGGATACCGTCAGATTAAGTAGCACGTACCTTCCATTGAAACATAACGAGCAACTATAACAAATTTCGTCTGACTTGGACAAAAATAGTAACAGTTATAGGAAAATCACAAACACATGGATTTTGAAATATATTCTGATAATAGTCCGTCTGTTAGATCAATTTTAAAGTAATTGGAATCACAAATAATTAAACTACTTCATTATTTTCCATTTTACACAAAAAAAATAATTGTTAATACTTATGGATCGTCAATTTCATTATACGTCCTACAACCTACAACTACCGGTAAAGTGTAAAAAATGAAATAACCGTAAGATGAGATGATATTCTTTGAAATCGTATATCAGACATACATGTAATTATTTTAAATATGCCCATGTCTATCAGAGAGTTGGAATATTCTTCAAATATATTTCAAACAATCTCGACATGTCGATTTTACCACTGACAGAAAGTCCTCCTTTGGCCATTTCTTTGTTTGCCCTTGCGGGGGCAGGGAAGAAAGTACATCCCCGAACGACGACCAGCGGTCGTCTGTGCTCGTGTGCGCTCGTGTGTGCTCGTGTTAGGTACAGATGCGTCGCCCACCGACAGAGGTTGCAGAGTGGGGATGGAGCGGTGGTGGGGGCAGCCGGCGAGTCCTAGCCAGGGCCCACTTGTTCCGCACGGGGATCGCTTGTCACTCGAGAGCGCGTTGCCATTCCGGCAACATCCGGACGTCAGTGTCCTCCCCTACTCGGTAGCACCACTTTGTGCATACCTTTACTCGCGTCAATTTCATCGCGAGCTATTCGAACTCTCGAGTGTCCGCGAAAAGAGTGCGGAATAACATTGAAAACATTCAGTGACCAAGAAACTGATGTTTTACGGTTTGGAGGTGCAGTCGAGCAGTGATAAATAAAAGCATGCTTTAAACAACAACTGACAGAAACTCGTACAGACAGATCAAGTAAAAGTTTTCTTTCGAATTCCGTGCAAACATAAGCGCCGAAGAATGACCACGGAGTCGCTGTCGCGCGAGCTGGACGCTCATATAGTGACACTTCTGACGAGGATCTCCGCGCTGAAAGAAAACCACGCGGAATTAACGGAGAGAAAGGCGCCTATGTCCATCGAGGCACGGAGCTTAGAACTGTGGAGAGCAGTGGCCGTCGAGTGTTTCGCCACTTTCCTCTTCAGCCTCGTGGTGTCTGGCGCGGCTGCGTCCTCCGTGGTCTCAGGAAGCGGACTCTGCGTCTTGGCCACCGCCGTGGCGTCAGGATTCGCGATCGCTGCGATCTCGATGATCTTCGGCCACATCAGTGGTAAGAATCCTCTACTTTACACCATTATTTTGAACGATAGATAACAAACGAAGCCCAACGTATAACAACTGAATCGTGAAAGACTCGTTATAGAAAATTTGGCTAAACTTTGTTTTGGGATCGTTAGAAATACCAATTTTGAGGTTAGATAACTGTTTTTGCAAGGAACATCGTATTGTTCTTTGACGGGTAGTCAGGAAGTGCTATGTCGAAAATAGTTGACACTTACAAACTCTTAGGTCAATAATTCTATATAGAATATTCAATCATGCTTATGATTGCTATTAGATTCCGTGGCTTTATTGTATTTAAAAAGCGAAAAGTGGCCGCGTGGAATACATAAATTGTCGATGATTTGAAAGACTTCGGATAGGAAGTTTAGCAGAGATCTCTGTCGCATCGTTTACAGCTTGCCCTCATGGTCTTTCACGATTGGCTCGTTAACCGATTATGACGACCGATGGAAATATAGCGCTACGGGTTTATTGGAACGTGTGCGCTTATATTGTATGTACTTGATTCACGTTATACTCGTACTAGAGATGAACAGGATTTTTTATTCCTTACACGTGTTGAGGTTAAGTTTAGAAACGGTAGATACTTGAACTTTACTTCAGCCTTTTGCACATTCAATTTTCTTTAATTAAACTTACACGTATATTCAACTTACACGTATGAAATATCGCATACTTAATAAAGAAGATAAATAAAATGAAAGAATTGAATATAAATTTGAATTTGGGAATTTTATGGGAACGAACAATGGACATAAATCGATATATTGAATTTTTGTGCGTTGTTACAATAAAATTTTTGTTTTTCTACCGCGACACTGACACGCGTAGGCTGTTAGCGTTTTGTTGCAGTCTAAGCGAAACACGATCGCATTTATTCTTCCCTCTCGACGAGCAAGGCTAATTAACGAGCGGAGACCGCGTCTGTATTCCTGTATAGGGTGATTCTAAAACTTGAGACGAAAGTCCATTTGCTTACAATTATTTACCTTTTTCGTTTTCATTTTCTCTGATATTCTATAATATTTTCATATTCAATAACCATTTTACATTACACGTTCTCTGTACAGAAAAAGAGTATAATTCTCTTAAAGAAAGAAATGTCGTACGAATCTCGTCGAATATTGCATATTTATCAGAAATTGATTCTGTGCTTTTATAAGGCCTCGGTTTCCAGCGTTTAAAAAGCTACCCATTAATTATTTCAATAAAATTTCGAAACAAACTAGCTCTCAACGCGTGACAAGTACTGTTAACTAATTAAACACGCTATAAAATTGATTTAGAGAAAATTAATCGTATACCGCGAAAATAAAAGAATAGAACGTTCAAGGTGGATAAAATAATTCCTTCGACCATCGAACGACGCCGATAGAGTATCGCTAAATTGAAAGTATCAACAAGTATCGGTACAGTAATTTATTACTTGCGTACGAATCGGGGAAATGGTTGGTTTTGTCCATCGGGTACGGAGTTGGTAAACTCGTAATAAAATGATGGAATGGTTGGCTCGCAGGTGGCCACGTGAATCCAGCTGTCTCGATGTCCTTCGCTTTGTGTCGACGGATTTCTCTGCTTCGGGCTGCTCTGTACATCGCTGCACAATGCGGAGGCGGCATAGCTGGCGCCGCGATGCTCTATGGGTGAGTAATTTTCCTTAAAACTCGTTACAAAGTAATTAGGTTCGATACACGCCGAAGAATTTAAACGATCCTGTTGGATAGTGGAGGAAACCGAGGTTAATTGAAACATAGGTCGGTAGAAACGTTAACATAAAAATATTTAGCGATGGGAACAAGACGTTGGGAGGCACAAAGGAATTAGTTTCGTGTATAAATCTGTTGCTCATGTACGCATCACCGATTTTTAACACGTTGACCGTCACGTCATCCGCATAGGGGTGACAAGGATTTTCACCGAGGAGTAGTTTCTTTTCTGTTCAATTATTGTTAATTAGCGTCGGTTTGTATTATCATCTGTTGTTTTCAAAACGACGAAAGGAGTCGAAAGAACTCTTCGCACTCTCTCGGTATTGGGAATAAAACGTTGCAGTCCTCTAGAGCGTCTGGGGTTAAATATTACTTTAAACGAAAAAAAAAAAAAAAAACACGACACGTATTTATAAAGGAGACGGTTCTTCGGTACATGGAAGACGTTCTATAGAGAAAAAGAAACGAGATACGCAACCCCGAGGAGGCAGCTGCCAGATAATGGAATCCAAGAAGGCCGCGTGCTCGAGTCCTTTAGCTCCTTTGCTGGTTATCCAAAGCACTCGTACGGTTTTCG